TAAACTGTTTTAAAACTGTCTCATTGCTATCTCTTTTTCAATAAAATTAATTATATATGTAATTTTGGTTTATTTTTAGCAGTAGTAGTAGTAATAATTTTGTGGAGCATGATAATTGCAGAGTTAACTCATTACTAAGGTTAGAGGCAACTTACAGAACATAAGCATTTGCTTTGGTATGTATGTCAGGATAAATTAGAGTGTACTCTGGTAACAAATGACCCCCAAATCTCAGTATCATAGTACCTTGCACTATAAATTGGTTGTGAGAAAGACTGGGTTCCATCTCATTTCATCCTTACTCAGGAACCCAAGCGAAAAGATGCTCCAGCTCTTTGTTTTTGTAACTACCAAAGTAGGAATTGGGAACATGATGAGTATCTCACTGTCCCATAGATTTCTGCATCGTTTGTGCTTACCACCAATCTCTCTACATATAAGATTAATTTAGAATTGTTCTGTTGCAGTGCCTACACTTGAACTTCATTTTAATTTAAATATGATCAAGACTTCTTTCCTAAATTTGCTGTAATAAGCTGGAATGGAAACAAAATAATATTTAAGACATACTAGCCATGCAGGAACAATTTGGGCTGTATTCATATACAGTATTTCTTGGAATATAAAATAAGATGACACATTTGAAAAATTAGATTAATGTAAAATACTTAAATTTGGTCTGATATAGTATTTGCAATATCTGGTATAAGAATAATACATTGGGTCAATTATAATCAGATGACCACATTATATCTAACAGTGCTGGACAAGGGCTTTGGAAATCAAATACTGACATTCTTAGACAGAGTAGTTAACTAATCAACTGAATTTAAAGTTTTCCACCTAGACATTTTGGTGTTGTAAAGGACTTGCTCTTAACATTAGATCCCCTAGTCTTGGGGCAACTTCTATTTTCCAGCCCGCATCTCTTTTTAAAATTTTTTTAATCATTTATTTATTTGATACAGGGTCTTGCTACACAGCTCAGCTCGTAGTGATCCTCCTGTCTCAGCCTCCCCCACACTAGGATTACAGGCATGCACCACATGCCTGGTTTTGGTGGTGAGCACTGTGCACCCCGGTTCCATGGCCAACATGGCATATGGTACCAGGATCAAACTTTGGTCCCTTGTGCTTGCCAAGCAGGCCCTTGACCACCGAGCTATCTCCCCAGTCCCTCCCTATCAGTATTTAAAAGAAAAATCTTGTTTGTATATTTGGTACTGGGTCTCACTAGGCAGCTCGGACTCATAGCTATCCGCCTGTTTTCAGTCTTCCCAGCGCAGACCACCATGCCTGGACTAGGTCACTGGCCCAGCACACCCAGGGCATAGGGCTGGCACGGCATGCGGTGCAGGCATTGAACCCTGGTCACTGTGTTTAGCTAAGCAGGCAGTCCTATCACTTTTAAGAGAAACACTATACAGGATCTTTGGCTTCCAGGATATCACTCAATGCATTGTCTTTTATGAAAGTATGCTGTGTAGTTCTTTTATAAGTGAATATTTCCCCTCTGGACTTTAACATGTTGTAAGTGATGTTGTGCCAGAGGTGTGACCCATGTCAGGACACGGAATATACTTCAGTGAGCATCAGTCTTGTATTTATTCAACACTGTAATTTTCCATATGTCTATCACTGAATTTGAAAAAATAGATTATTATTTATCTAAGCCATTTATAACACTGAAATTTATTGTTAACACAGGGCAATACGCTTTCTTCAGTGAGACCAACAAATGTATTAGAAATGATGAAAGAATGGAAAAATAACCCAGAAAGTGATGAGGAAAACAAGAAAGAGGAGAAGAATAATCAGTCCCATAAAGAAAAGTTGGAATATTACCGACAACACAGAAATGTCCCTGCTGTCAATAGCACTTCAGATGAAAAGGAGGAAAAACCAGCCAAACAAGTAGGAAGAACCATTGTTTCATTTATCCAGACTGTAAAATACCCTTTATAACATTGGAAGCACTTTGGGCAGCTCTTGTTGTTGTTGTTGTTAATTTGATACAAAGGACTTGCATCGTAGAAGCAAGTAAAGTTCTTTCTGGCTCATAGGCTGTCATAATTTAGCATCATGGCAAACGTTTCATGTTTAAAATCAGTTATAGATAACAGGGGTGTGAATTTTTTTGTAAGGAGACAATTACAAGCTGGACATCCCTAAAGGATACTTAATCTGTAGTAAATATTTTAGGTATTGTGGGCCCTAATGATCTTTTTTGTAACTACTCAATCCTGATGGCATAGTGTAAAGATTGCCACAGACCACAAATAAGCGTGACTATGTTCCAACTAAACTTTAAAAAAAAAACATAAACAGATGGCATGCCAGATTTGGCCCATGGCTCCAAATGAGTAAGTTCTGTATTCTACCAGGCTATACAATTTGGAATTGCTTTATATGTTACCTAAAAAAACATAATTATTGCATTACCTAATTATTTCTAATGTTGTGCTAATCAAAACTCTTTATATAGGTTTACCATTTGACTTTACTAGATCTGAGTATGATTTTGTTTTTGATAACTATAATTTATTAACATTTTTATTAGTATTTGCCTTAGATTGTGGTCTGTGAACTGAATATTCTGGTAAAGTTGCCCAAACGAGTGCACCTCAATGTTTTCTGTTTGTAGGAATTTTTAAAATATTTTTTCCTCCTTATGTCCTGCAATTTAATGAAAAATGTTTCAGCTTTTGTTGGACACGTGTGTCTTGCCAGCGGGCTTTGTTCACCTCGAGACTGCTTGCGAGGAGTTGCTCTTTTTCCATCTCCTGCAGCCAGGAGAGAGGCAGAGTATGCAGAGGCAGTGACAGGGCGCCCCACCCTGAACCAGACCCAGCACAGCACGGCACGGCTGTGCACCTTGTCAGCAATACACAGAAGGGGACCTGGCGATCTGTGGGCTAATTCTGATTTACTGTGTGAGAACTATTTCATCACTAGGTAGTAAATGTCTAGATAATAAGCTGTACGTAATGATTTATGTATTTTGAAATAATTGTGCTTTTACCATAACACAGCATGAACTTACTGAATTCCGTTCTTATAATCCAGTCTGGTGACAACTCCTATATTTCTTAGTGGTGTGTATTTTATATTTTCCTTAAAAGCGGTATCCTAAAACTTCATGTTTGCAGTTCTTTTGAACATAGTTGGAAGATTTTCTGTTATAGATTTGCCAACATACATGTATATAAGCATATGCATATATGCATATACATACATATATACATGTATATTAAATGTACCATATGCATTTTACACAAGTATGTATATATGGATATACATATGTACACACAAAAATGCTTGCACATGCAAACTTTTTGTAGTCCTGGATTATCATATCTGACAAAATACCACTGCGAACCAGAAGTCTTCCATTGCTCTGTTACACCTTCCTCATCCTCCCAGACTTCCTGCAAGTCACAAGTTATGTGACTTATGCTGCTCTTGGTTACAGCTAGGAAACAGGACAGTTCAAATTTGATTGGCCTAGGGATGCTAAAACTATAACCACTGGATTGAAAGTTTAAGAATAGAAAAATTTCAGGGCTGGGGAGATGGCTCAGTAGAATAAGCACTTACCTGGCAAGCACAAGGTCCTGAGTTCAATCCCTTGTTTTGCCAAAAAAAAAAAAAAAAGTAAAGAAAAATTTCAGTAACATCGGCTGAAAACTTCAGAATATAGATTTTTAGTAACAAGAAGAATGTTGTCCACCATCAGGGCTTACTAGCAAGGAAAAGGTAGAGCAAACTTCCACTCTCACTATTCAAGGAGGCTTTTAAGGCTGCTTGCTGTAAATGCTACAGTGGAAATTCCTGCAAGGTGAATAGGAATTTTTCATTGTTCTTGAAGGAACTATGCCTTGCTTGGGTTGGGTCTGTGATATCTTGGAAGGAATGCTTTGCACAGTTGGGAAATTCTTCTGAAAAGTTTTGTTCCTTTAAAAAATATATTTCTTGAGCCACACTGAGCCTTGATGAGCCCCAGGAACCCCACGGGGGAGAAACTCTGCCCTCGCCCCCAGGTCCCCCCATGGTTGGGCCACACTGAGCCCTGTTGAGCTTCAGTGAGCTTCACGGGAGGGAGAACCCCACTCACCACCCCTCTGCCACGCGTGAAGCCTCTGGAGGAACCCTGGCGCCTGACTGTATTCCTCCACTGTGGGTTGGGCAGCCAGCATGGGAAGTGCCCAGGATGTGGCAACGGTATTGTCCGGAGGAACCCAGGGTGAATCTGCTCCAAGAGAGAAACTTTACATACAGACTCCTACTTTATGCTCAGTTCTGTTATAGAGCTAGAAGATGTGCTCCTGTGGTCTAAAGTACAATATCAACAGTTACTACAGTTTGTCAGGTTCTAAACTGTGCTTATTATTAATTGCATTACTGTAGCTAGAATGTGCTGTCTATTGCAGTCAGTTGTTCTCTCTTGGGAAGCTCTGGGGTAATAACCTCATCACAACCGTACACCAAAAGACTGGGAACTGAGCTGAATAGAGAACAACATCCCACTGGCAGTTAATTGGGAGTGTAGGAACTTGGGAAAGACACAAACCAAGAATCTCCTAGACACAGAAGATACTCCTGAAGTACAGACTATTCCTGGAAAGGCTGCGATGTTAGTGATACATCTACCTCCTGCCAAAACACACAAGGATCACTACAGGAAACAAAATTAAAAAAAATTTAAGTAAAAAAAAATGTTAAAACAAAAAAGCAAAAGGGAATCTCAGACCTTCATCCTACCCAAAACAAGCCCAGGAAACATCAACAGAAGAAACTGAGTCTCACACCTGATATTTCTGAAATGATAGCAACTGAAGTAAGGAAACAACTCCATCAGGCTACAGAAGACATGAGATCAGAAATAATCTCTCAGATAACAAAAGAAATAATCATAGGAGAATGTAACTATATATCTATCCTAACCACTTTGAATGCACAGATACAAAATGGACATTCATCTGTAT